CCGACCCTAGGCTGGGACCTTCTCTGTGGGAGGAGGCTGCCTGGGACACTAGGGTGTTGAGTAGCACCCCTGACCTTCACCCAATCCATGCTAATGGAGGCTGTCAGGCCAAATGGCCCTGCATCTGTGGGGCTCCCTGGGTGGGTCCTGACTGGGTGTCCTGGGCAGACCACCGTGTGGCCTGCCCCCTTCCCTTCTTCGCACAGTGCCTAAGCCCAGGCCAGCTCTCTGCCAGGCTCCCAAGCAGTGGGTGGTCTCACAATGATCGTGAGCTGAGCTCGTCTGCCTGCCTGTCCGTCAGCTGTGGAGCCTCCTGTGAGAGCGGAGACAGACCCCAGGCTTCCCTGGCAGGCTGTGCACGGCTGGCTGGAGGGGATTGGGGCACTGCAATCCCGGCTTTCTCCCAGCCTGCCCGAGTCAGGACACGGTGCTTGGCTCCTTCACCACTCCCGGGCTTTGGCTGAGTGTCAGTGTTAGCCTAGGACTAGGACCGAGTCCTCGGGGGCTTTCAGTGGCAGGTCTGGGGAAGTAGGTCGCCGGGCCTTTCTTCCGAGGCACCACTGGATGGACTTGCATGACCCCGAAGCCTCTTGGTTTCCAGCTGAGCCCAGAGACTTCTGCCAGGGGGTTGCTGTGACGTAGGCCGGAATGTGCAAGGTGGGGAGCCACGTGGCTCCTTCAGAGGCCCTGGACGGTGTCCATGGCTGAGCTCTTGGCTGTTCACTGAGAGGTTGGAAGTTCGAGTCCACCCAGAGGCCTGACGCCGCCTCCTCCCCCGTGTGTGTGTCCGTCCGCAGTGCACGTGCCGGAAGGACATGGTGAAGATCTCCATGGACGTGTTCGTGCGCATCCTGCAGCCCGAGCGCTACGAGCAGTGGAAGCAGGGCAAGGACCTGACGGTGCTGGACCACACACGGCCCACCGCCCTCAGCAGCCCCGCGCTCAGCTCCTGGAGCGCCTCCTGCGCCTCGCTCAAGGCCAAGCTGCTGCGCAGGTGAGGCCCCTGCCCACTCCCACCCAACGCCGTGACCAAGGGGGGAGGGGCTCTGTGTCGACCAGAGACTCCGGTCTCAGACCCCCAGGGAAGGGTGACTGATCGTCGCAAGGCCAGCCTGCTGCGTG